GAGAGAGTATTCGCTTCGATGGGTTGTGTGAGTGTGAGAGAGACACGGCGACTAGGGCAAAGTAGTTCGAAAACATACGAAGCGCGGGGGTGACGGCTGCAACTGGAAGTGGAATCATTTTTATTGCCAAATGTGTTTGTTGCTCAATTTAACTAAAAGTGCTGCCAACTCTCGCTGTCTCGTCCGCTTCGCCCTAGCATTCGCTTGCGTTCTCTAACGGCCCGTCCTGAACGGGGAATGCGAAGAGAGAGGGGGACAGAAGATACAGAAAGCGAACGAATGGTAAGAAGGCATAGAAAGGGAACGACGGTAAATGTGCGAATGTTGGCGAAAAAGTAAGGAGACGAAAGGAAAGGGAACGATTGCGATCGTTGATGAGCGGTGTTGTTGGTGGAAGCAAGGTATAAAGAAGGAAGTTCGAGAAGACGCATGCGAAGCGCATAATGATGACAGGCGCAGACGTACGCACACTAATGAACGTCCCAAAAGATGTACCCGCTGTTCAAAGTGCTGCTCTCATGTGCAGAAGAAGCCGGAATTCTGGCATTCATTGAGAATGGGTTTTTGATATTACAATGACTCGAAGCATTAGCTGCCAATGTGGAACTGTTTCATTTGATATAAAACATTTCCTCATTAGTTTATCGAACCTCTGTTGTCTCCGTTATCATTGATCGAAATAATATATAATTTACTCTCAGGAATACTCATATTGTTTCAAACATTCCTTTTCACAGCTTCACGTATCAAAATTGATCTAAGTAAATATGTTTTCATTGAAAGCTGTAGAGAAAGGGAACCAAATGAACTACGAATTGATGGTCTATATGGAAAAGGATATAGAGGTAAGCGGAATTCCTTTCAAAATAACCGTCTAACGTTCCATATTTTATGCACAACAGGAATGGGATAAGGGTATTGTTGCAGCCGTCAAAAGGGGCAATTTCTGGATGAAACTGTCCATTGAGCGCTATAATGTCGTAAAGACTTATTTTCATTCGAAGTTCGTGGACGTGCCCGGGTCTGGGTCTGTCTCTGTCTCTGCAGACAACTTGGATGAGTACGAGGACTTCAGCGACGAGTTGAAGCGCCTGTTCCTGCCGGACGGCGAACCAAAGCTAATGGAATATAAGATCCAATACGATATCATCAAGTCGCCGAAAAAGTGTCAGAACAAGGCGTCCAAGAAGCGTCGTTTCCGCAAGAAAACCAACAAAACAGTGATCGATGAGTTGTTGGAAATCAGAAATGCGCTCTGTTCCCCTCAGCTTGCTTTAGTTAGCAAGGAATTCAAGGTCTCCTATCCAACACAAGAGGAGGATCCACAGGAATTGGTACCAGAAGAAGTCATAAAGGAATCAATCTTTTTCTATGAAGCTCCTTTAAACAGATCCCGCAGGCGTAGTTGGAAAGTGAAGTACTACTGAAGACAGTTCTGATATTCTGAAAAATTGTATCCGAATTCTGGCTGTGGGTTTTGTACTGGACTGCGCCCTGAATGCAAATAAAAATAGTGTACCTTCACCCCCTTCGGTTGGTCATTGAACTGATTGCCAAATCGTGACATAAATATCATGAAATTCATTTCTACAATATATATCCTGCATATCCCAACACTCATATGCATACATGTACGGATATTTATTGCAGGCATTGTTTGCCCACATTCGACTCTGTTGTCTATTTATTTGCCGCCTTCCGTTTTGTTATTGTGTTTATTCGAAACTCTCCTTCTCCTCCTCCTTTTTTCCTTTGCGAGTTTTTGTTTATGGATTTTTGTTGTTCTTTTCTGTTTTTAGTGATTTGAAATCGATGCATAAATAATGGTTTCTGCCAGCGGCTCTGGTTTCCCCTTATTTCAACATTCTCGTTGCGGCCTGTTTTACGCCGATGAAGAGCTAACCGCTAGCCGTACAGTGCGTTTCACAAGTATCTGGAGATGGGATTGGTTGAAAGCCAAGGAGAAGAATCTGGAGTCTCCAATGGAAAGGAATCCCCTATTGTGCGGGGCCTCCATCGACGGAAATCTTCCATTGTCTCTCCCTACAACTATGGAACGCACTGTAACGCTGACGGAACAAGCGGAAAATCAGTGAAATATGACAAACTTTTTCAATTGCACAATATAGGGGCATAAATTTTATACAATAAACAGGGCACAAAACAAACAGGCAACAGAAAACAAAACACATTCGCGGAAAAGGGGAAGGAAAGGGGAAAAGCGAGAGGGAAAACTTTTGCAAATCAACAATCCGGCAAGAGGCGGCCGAAAGGAAGGGTGCGAAAGATCGTGAAAGTTTTTGTTTTGCTTTATTTTTTATACCCGATACTCAAAATGAGTATTGGGGTATATTAGATTTGTGGTAAAAGTGGATGTGTGTAACGTCCAGAAGGAATCGTTTCCGACCCCATAAAGTATATATATTCTTGATCAGCATCAATAGCCGAGTCGATTGAGCCATGTCTGTCTGTCCGTCTGTCCGTCCGTCCGTCTGTCCGTCCGTCCGTCTGTCCGTCCCCTTCAGCGCCTAATGCTCAAAGACTATAAGAGCTAGAGTAACGATGTTTTGGATCCAGACTTCTGTGATATGTCACTGCTACAAAAATATTTCAAAACTTTGCCCCGCCCGTTTCCGCTCCCACAAAGGGCGAAAATCTGTGGCATCCACAATTTTAAAGATACGAGAAAACCAAAAACGCAGAATCGTAGAGAATGACGATATCTTTTAGACTACGGAATCTGAATTGGATCGTATTATTATTATAGCCAGCATCAAGAAAACAATTTCATTTTTTCTCGCCCTGTCTCTCTCTAACACACACGTAGCATAGGCGGCTTTGCTTAGAGTAAAACATTAGCGCCTAGATCTCAGAGACTATAAAAGCTAGAGCAACCAAATTTGGTATCCACACTCCTAATATATCGGACCGAGACGAGTTTGTTTCAAAATTTCGCCACACCCCCTTCCGCCCCCGCAAAGGATGCAAATCTGGGGATATTCACAAATCTCAAAGACTATTAAAGCTAGAGTATCCAAATTTAGTATCCGCACTCCTGTTAGATCTCACTATAAAACGTATATCTCAAAATTTCGCCCCACCCCCTTCCGCCCCCACAAAGGACGAAAATCTGTTGCATCCACAATATTGCAGATTCGAGTAAACTAAAAACGCAGAATCATAGATAATGACCATATCTATCAGATTGCTGAATCTGGATCAGATCAGATCATTTTTATAGCCAAAAGGAACAAATCAATTTGCATTGGCTACGCAGCGCCCGACGTCACGCTCAGACTGATTTTCTGTCTCTCTCGCACGCACTCTTTGTCGTGTCGTTTAATATTAGCGGCGCTGCCGGAGGAGAGCCATACTGACTTAGTATCGGGTATAACTGTACAGTTGCGGTGTCCGCAGCAACTCACAACGTTCCCCCTCGTTTGGTGCTGCTTTCGTGACGTTTGCCAATTGCTAAATTCTCGATGCCAATGACAATCGCCAGGGAGGGGAGCGGGAAGGGGGGAGCCAACACAACAAGGTGATGGCACGCCCATTTAGCCAGATGCCCCCGGTTCAACGCCCCCTGGCAGAGAGATACTAGGGGGGCCGGAAGGGGGGCCAGGCATGGCATGGCATGGGCTTCCACGAGGACACACAACAACGTTTACGTGACTTGTTTCATAAACAAACAGAAGGCGGAGAAAATTGGCACAAAATTGCCAATCCTTTTCGTCGGCCTGGGTGTGTGTGTGTGTGTGTGTGTTGCGGCACAGGTGGCGCCTGCCACATGTCCTGCTCTGGCCTGACATTGAGCGGCGTGAAAGTTTCGTCCTCCATTGGCGCTTTTGCATACAACTTGGTAATTGTTTCCGCCAACAATTGCTGCAGCTGCTCGGCTCCGCCTTTTGGCCATTTTAATCATTCAAAATTCAAAAGTCACGGGCAGCTGCGGAATCTTAGCGCCGCATGAGGGATTGGAACGGATTGCCAGACAGATCAGGACATTCCGGGCAGATCGGAATATTCAGAGAGGGACGGGACGAGACGGGACAGGACAGGACAGGCCCGGACGCGTCCACGGCCATTGTCTTGCGAAAGTCAACCCTTTTGGCCCACATTGCTGTCAGCCCTCTCTAAATGAGACATGAAAAGGCATGAAACTTTTCTCATTATGCCACCCCCCCTTATGAGCTTCCCCAGTAATGCCAGGATCGATCATGCGACTAGAGGATACCCCAGGGACACCTCAGAGTGTGCCACAGAAGGCTGAAGGTCCCGCCTGTTACCAACCCGACACCCGACCACGGCATACCCTCTTAATCTGGCAAATACCGCGTATTAAAAAGTAAAATAATCAAGGCGAAAAAAGGAAAGTTGTCGCCACTTTGCCTTTGGGGTGTGGAGTGTGGGCTGTGGGAGGGGGATGCCTGCTGCGCGGCTGGTGCGTGTTGCAAGTTGTCCATGCAACCCATAGACAGGTAAATCAAGTTTTCTTTCCCTGCAGGAACATTTTGCGTAAGGCAAAAGTTATCCATGCATATTCAACATCATTAGAAAGTCACGACAAAGTAGCTGAATGCAGCAGCAAGGCAAGACAGGGATGGCGGACGGCGGACAGGCGCCTCTCCGACGCCACGTCCCCTCCAGGGAAAGTAACACAAGCCCGTTTAAGGCGCTAAAATGGAGACCATAAATTATGTCATAGGTAGAGTCGTCTCTTAAATGCAGCTGCTGAAGGGAGTCGCCATCGGAGCTTTCTTTTAAATGCAGCTGTTGAAGGCCCTGATTGATTTCACTTCTTCAATGAAGCAGCCTTGATGGAGGTTTAATCGGATCTTATGGTTGGAAGTGGACGAACAGATTGTTGTATAAGTATAAGTATAAGATTACATACATATGTCTCTGGAGTGTCTCTGGAGTACTCAGTACTTCCATTGCGTAAATTCTGCAATTGCGCCTTGGCTGGTTCTGGTTCTTCTTCTGTCACGGACTCTGGATCCTCCTGCTGTTCCTGTTCTCCACACGCCGTCTCTCCTCGATATTTAAGTGTTCTGGCTGCTTTGGCTCTGTTCTAGTCTGATCTCCAAGGCCTCAAGGGCGCCTACATAAGGCTGCAGCGTCGTTGGAGCCCAGCAGGGATCTTGAGTGGACGAGTGATGCCATGTGGATACATGTAAGTTTGGGGCTGCTTATTGGCGGCCTCTTCTTCCGATTCTGATGACTTGCATTCGATTTCCTCTGGCTTCTCGGTGCATATGAGCATCTGGGAAATATCTGCAGTCTTGTAGAAGTTCTTCTTGTCCGTCGTCTTGTAGCTTTCCACGATTGAGGGCAGGTCGACGAGCTTCGTGTAGAGCATAGAGCCATCCAGCCAAACCTGACCCTGACGCAGGTCCTCCTTCAGTGCAATGCTCAATTTCTTGTGTACATTTCCATCCCTGATGGCCTCGTGAATGGTCTCGGCACGATCCTGCAATGCATATAATTAACATAGTAAATCACCCATGAGGCAAGACGCAGAAGACCATATCGCTTACCTCGGGAACTCGCATTATGAATTGGCCCTCCGCCTCAAATTCGTCGCTTGTCGGCTCGCTTGTGTATTGTACATTGTTCATTGGCTCCATTTTTAATGATTCAATTTATGTTAGTTGTAAGATTTTTTTTTTTTGTCAAAAATACGAATTCTTTTGCCAATGACGCAGTGTTGGAAAAAGCACACTTAAACAAGTCGCTAGAGAACCACTGGTTCTGAACCAGTCACACTCTGAAGAACCTCCATCTTATTCCGTGATGCACACATGGCTCACAGGAAATCAAAGGCCCAGAACGAAGAGGCGCAGATTCAGCCCAGGATTGTAGTGGCGAGGAGGCATTAGTATTACTGCGACCCATTCGTCAACGACCGTGAAACCATTGTCGGCGTCACTGGCGCCTTTTTCGTCGAAGTGGCCTTCTGTAAGCGCTATTCCTTGTTGTATCTGCTCATACAACTTAAAAGCTATAAATAAAGTAAACGTAATATCTATTCTTAAATGAATCCTGTTTAATTCGGGAATGTCTGTCCAAGAGGTAGAAGTAGTAGAAGATTGAACTCCTGCTTGTTGATGCGATCCAAAAATATAGACTATTCTAGGGATTATTTCATTCCTAGCGTTTCTTTGAACCAGTCCAATCCTTGGGCACCCAGCGCAGGCAGGTGGCATCAATGCACAGTTGAGGTTTGGCCTTGTCTTTCAAATAATTCTCAACGACATCGCCTTTGACGCAGACAATGTATCGGCTCTTATAGTACTTGATAAGTTTCAGATGAGTCAGCGTGGATACCACATCATCTGTGCTGATGGAAGTCTTCTCAGAGATTTCACTATTGGGAGAAAAAAGCAAATAGTTAGTAGCTGAATAGTCAGTGCTGTTTAGGCGTATACTTGATGGAAATGGTAATCTTGTCCTCCGCCACGTCGAGCTTCTGCTTGATGAGTACATCGAGTATGGCCTGGGCCCAGAAGGAACGATAAGAGAGAAGCCCCAGGTCCGAGAGCGGTTTCTCTGGCGTGCCGGTCTTCCCCTCACACTTTGACAACTCGTAGCTGAACTCGATGAGCAGTCGGCCATAGCCCATGCGCTGGTACGGAGGTAGAGTCAACACACAGGCCAAGTTGTTGTCTTCGCTCACCTTCTCCTTAGAGAAGTATCCCACCATATGGAAGCCGCGCGAGTCGAACACTGTCATTATGTAGAACAGGAAGGGATCTGTGTTGTGATACAGAGTCTTTTCGTCTAGGAACAGCTTGCTCAGGAGGCAGAGATTCTGCGCGTATGTCATGCTCCGACGTCCGTCAATCTCGAAGAACGATATTGTGTCCTTGCGGTAGATTTCCTCGCCAGGCGGATGGCGAAGATTGCATTTAATCAAATGGCGAGCCAGGCATGTGGCATTCATCACGTACTTTAGGCACCACTCGCACAAGTAGATGCACGGCTCGGCGCACATTACCTCAGGATATGGCGAAAAGTACCAGGGCTTCATGCGATGCTTTCCCAGCTCAATCCACTGCACATTCTTGATTTCATGTACAGGCTTCTTCTTCAGTTGGGATTGCTTGGAAGGGGCGTTTGGGAGATTCTTCCGCGATCCTGTAGAACGTTCCATTGCGTAGCGCTGTCGGTTGCGAGGAAACTGCACAGACGACAAGTCCAGATCCTTCTCGTCGAACCAGTCATCCAGACGCTTGTTAACTAAAAGGCAATCAATGTTAATCACTAAAGACGGACTTCCCAGCCTACTCACAATCCAAGAAGTGCACATAGTATTGACGCTTGTTCCCCACTTTTTTGGTGCTCAAAATTTCCGCCATTTTCCACACATCTGGCTTTTCCATACGCACGGAGAGCGTGCAGCCTTCTACCAACTGCGTCTGAAGATCAATAAGAGAAAAGTAATTTGGAAAGTATCAAGAGACATCCCCATTTACCGCTGATTCACATACATACGAAGTAGGCTTTAAACTCATCTTGCTTTCATCAATTATTAACTTGCGCGGCCAAATCGGGATCAACGCTGACAACTGATTTTTTTTGTTTGCCAACGCAGATCGGGGATGCCGTATGGGCGCAATCGACTGCCGTATATCGATATGAATCTGCCTCGCAAAAGCTTTATAAGAAGTTTTTGTACTTTGAGAAACAACGTTTATTAAATAATATATATTTCCTGACAGCACCTTTCATTAAATTTCTTCTTATTTGAAGTAAATTGCCTGCCGGAGTTTGTTCGATATATCGATATATGTACATCGATAAGAGGACAAGCGCTAAATAATTTAAATATTTCTACCATTCGCATTAATTTGACCATTAAAACCCTTAATTAACTTACATTCCTACTTTAACAGACCAATTTTTCTTTTAATTAAATTAAATCTCAATTTTTTCTTGGCGGCAATATTTCTGATATCTATCGATTATGTTGTGCGGTCACACTGAAATGACGTGTGGCCGGCGTATTATATCTATATGTATGTGTATATATATGTGTGCAGTTCGGCGGAGCTAATTCGTGTGATTTTACACCCTTGTTTTTGTGTGTTTAAATAAATTAATAATCGTGGATCGTCAAGAATCGAGGTGAAATTTTGTAAATGTAATGTTTATTTTCTCAAAATGCTGGGTTGGACGGCACCTGCTGCATATTCCAACCTAAAACATGTCTATGTTTGTAGTTGAATTTTTGTTTTTTTTTTTCTGTTTCTTTTTGTTTGTTTTAGATGGAATAGAATCTAAGTGCAACAACTTAATCGGTGTTTTTTTTTAATGTGGTGATCTTGTGCACATTTTGGGTCTTTTGTGTGTCAACTCGTAAAATCCAACGAAATTCTCAACACACGCTCACTCTTCCTCACCAGCCTTAATGTAAGTGTATTGGCGTGCACATTGGAAAGCTGCTGTGATATTTCATATTGGAAAACGTACCGAAAGACTCACAGCAAAAAGAAAAAACTTGTTAAATATTAAAAACTCCTATGCCTTAGACCCTTCTGAGCTTTTAGAGCCATTTTATATGCCGCCCGGAAAGGGTTCTCCTTTCCCCCTGCAGAGCCACACACACATGAACAAACAAATGGCAAAGTTAAATTTGAAAATAATAGAAATAGAAAAACTTTCTACAGTCACTCCTGGCAAACAGCAAAAGCAACAAAAACAAATAACCCTTACAATAACGCAACAAAAATGAAACTATTTCGAGTGAAATAAATCTGTTGGAATGTGCAAAACTCCTTCCAAGCGCATTTCGGCGGGCATTTTTATTTTTTGGAAGGGACTGTTCTGTGTATGGGAGAGCGAGTGAGATAGAGGGTGTGAGGGAATGAGGTCGATTGCAAGGTGTATCAATATAACGTGACGCATTTCCAGTTAGCAGAGTTTTAACATACATATTTGTTGTATAAATAGCGTGCAAGTTTTTTCTCTCCCATCCATGTGTGTTTGTGACAGTAATATGCACCTCGCTAGACGCGAGCACCTCACCTTGTATTAAATATACCGCCAATGCTTTGCGCTTTGCCACTTCTCCTTGGCTACCCTTTGCCACTGAATGAGAGAGAGTATTCGCTTCGATGGGTTGTGTGAGTGTGAGAGAGACACGGCGACTAGGGCAAAGTAGTTCGAAAACATACGAAGCGCGGGGGGTGACGGCTGCAACTGGAAGTGGAATCATTTTTATTGCCAAATGTGTTTGTTGCTCAATTTAACTAAAAGTGCTGCCAACTCTCGCTGTCTCGTCCGCTTCGCCCTAGCATTCGCTTGCGTTCTCTAACGGCCCGTCCTGAACGGGGAATGCGAAGAGAGAGGGGGACAGAAGATACAGAAAGCGAACGAATGGTAAGAAGGCATAGAAAGGGAACGACGGTAAATGTGCGAATGTTGGCGAAAAAGTAAGGAGACGAAAGGAAAGGGAACGATTGCGATCGTTGATGAGCGGTGTTGTTGGTGGAAGCAAGGTATAAAGAAGGAAGTTCGAGAAGACGCATGCGAAGCGCATAATGATGACAGGCGCAGACGTACGCACACTAATGAACGTCCCAAAAGATGTACCCGCTGTTCAAAGTGCTGCTCTCATGTGCAGAAGAAGCCGGAATTCTGGCATTCATTGAGAATGGGTTTTTGATATTACAATGACTCGAAGCATTAGCTGCCAATGTGGAACTGTTTCATTTGATATAAAACATTTCCTCATTAGTTTATCGATGAGTTGTTGGAAATCAGAAATGCGCTCTGTTCCCCTCAGCTTGCTTTAGTTAGCAAGGAATTCAAGGTCTCCTATCCAACACAAGAGGAGGATCCACAGGAATTGGTACCAGAAGAAGTCATAAAGGAATCAATCTTTTTCTATGAAGCTGCTTTAAACAGATCCCGCAGGCGTAGTTGGAAAGTGAAGTACTACTGAAGACAGTTCTGATATTCTGAAAAATTGTATCCGAATTCTGGCTGTGGGTTTTGTACTGGACTGCGCCCTGAATGCAAATAAAAATAGTGTACCTTCACCCCCTTCGGTTGGTCATTGAACTGATTGCCAAATCGTGACATAAATATCATGAAATTCATTTCTACAATATATATCCTGCATATCCCAACACTCATATGCATACATGTACGGATATTTATTGCAGGCATTGTTTGCCCACATTCGACTCTGTTGTCTATTTATTTGCCGCCTTCCGTTTTGTTATTGTGTTTATTCGAAACTCTCCTTCTCCTCCTCCTTTTTTCCTTTGCGAGTTTTTGTTTATGGATTTTTGTTGTTCTTTTCTGTTTTTAGTGATTTGAAATCGATGCATAAATAATGGTTTCTGCCAGCGGCTCTGGTTTCCCCTTATTTCAACATTCTCGTTGCGGCCTGTTTTACGCCGATGAAGAGCTAACCGCTAGCCGTACAGTGCGTTTCACAAGTATCTGGAGATGGGATTGGTTGAAAGCCAAGGAGAAGAATCTGGAGTCTCCAATGGAAAGGAATCCCCTATTGTGCGGGGCCTCCATCGACGGAAATCTTCCATTGTCTCTCCCTACAACTATGGAACGCACTGTAACGCTGACGGAACAAGCGGAAAATCAGTGAAATATGACAAACTTTTTCAATTGCACAATATAGGGGCATAAATTTTATACAATAAACAGGGCACAAAACAAACAGGCAACAGAAAACAAAACACATTCGCGGAAAAGGGGAAGGAAAGGGGAAAAGCGAGAGGGAAAACTTTTGCAAATCAACAATCCGGCAAGAGGCGGCCGAAAGGAAGGGTGCGAAAGATCGTGAAAGTTTTTGTTTTGCTTTATTTTTTATACCCGATACTCAAAATGAGTATTGGGGTATATTAGATTTGTGGTAAAAGTGGATGTGTGTAACGTCCAGAAGGAATCGTTTCCGACCCCATAAAGTATATATATTCTTGATCAGCATCAATAGCCGAGTCGATTGAGCCATGTCTGTCTGTCCGTCTGTCCGTCTGTCCGTCCGTCCGTCTGTCCGTCCCCTTCAGCGCCTAATGCTCAAAGACTATAAGAGCTAGAGTAACGATGTTTTGGATCCAGACTTCTGTGATATGTCACTGCTACAAAAATATTTCAAAACTTTGCCCCGCCCGTTTCCGCTCCCACAAAGGGCGAAAATCTGTGGCATCCACAATTTTAAAGATACGAGAAAACCAAAAACGCAGAATCGTAGAGAATGACGATATCTTTTAGACTACGGAATCTGAATTGGATCGTATTATTATTATAGCCAGCATCAAGAAAACAATTTCATTTTTTCTCGCCCTGTCTCTCTCTAACACACACGTAGCATAGGCGGCTTTGCTTAGAGTAAAACATTAGCGCCTAGATCTCAGAGACTATAAAAGCTAGAGCAACCAAATTTGGTATCCACACTCCTAATATATCGGACCGAGACGAGTTTGTTTCAAAATTTCGCCACACCCCCTTCCGCCCCCGCAAAGGATGCAAATCTGGGGATATTCACAAATCTCAAAGACTATTAAAGCTAGAGTATCCAAATTTAGTATCCGCACTCCTGTTAGATCTCACTATAAAACGTATATCTCAAAATTTCGCCCCACCCCCTTCCGCCCCCACAAAGGACGAAAATCTGTTGCATCCACAATATTGCAGATTCGAGTAAACTAAAAACGCAGAATCATAGATAATGACCATATCTATCAGATTGCTGAATCTGGATCAGATCAGATCATTTTTATAGCCAAAAGGAACAAATCAATTTGCATTGGCTACGCAGCGCCCGACGTCACGCTCAGACTGATTTTCTGTCTCTCTCGCACGCACTCTTTGTCGTGTCGTTTAATATTAGCGGCGCTGCCGGAGGAGAGCCATACTGACTTAGTATCGGGTATAACTGTACAGTTGCGGTGTCCGCAGCAACTCACAACGTTCCCCCTCGTTTGGTGCTGCTTTCGTGACGTTTGCCAATTGCTAAATTCTCGATGCCAATGACAATCGCCAGGGAGGGGAGCGGGAAGGGGGGAGCCAACACAACAAGGTGATGGCACGCCCATTTAGCCAGATGCCCCCGGTTCAACGCCCCCTGGCAGAGAGATACTAGGGGGGCCGGAAGGGGGGCCAGGCATGGCATGGCATGGGCTTCCACGAGGACACACAACAACGTTTACGTGACTTGTTTCATAAACAAACAGAAGGCGGAGAAAATTGGCACAAAATTGCCAATCCTTTTCGTCGGCCTGGGTGTGTGTGTGTGTGTGTGTGTGTTGCGGCACAGGTGGCGCCTGCCACATGTCCTGCTCTGGCCTGACATTGAGCGGCGTGAAAGTTTCGTCCTCCATTGGCGCTTTTGCATACAACTTGGTAATTGTTTCCGCCAACAATTGCTGCAGCTGCTCGGCTCCGCCTTTTGGCCATTTTAATCATTCAAAATTCAAAAGTCACTGGCAGCTGCGGAATCTTAGCGCCGCATGAGGGATTGGAACGGATTGCCAGACAGATCAGGACATTCCGGGCAGATCGGAATATTCAGAGAGGGACGGGACGAGACGGGACAGGACAGGACAGGCCCGGACGCGTCCACGGCCATTGTCATGCGAAAGTCAACCCTTTTGGCCCACATTGCTGTCAGCCCTCTCTAAATGAGACATGAAAAGGCATGAAACTTTTCTCATTATGCCACCCCCCCTTATGAGCTTCCCCAGTAATGCCAGGATCGATCATGCGACTAGAGGATACCCCAGGGACACCTCAGAGTGTGCCACAGAAGGCTGAAGGTCCCGCCTGTTACCAACCCGACACCCGACCACGGCATACCCTCTTAATCTGGCAAATACCGCGTATTAAAAAGTAAAATAATCAAGGCGAAAAAAGGAAAGTTGTCGCCACTTTGCCTTTGGGGTGTGGAGTGTGGGCTGTGGGAGGGGGATGCCTGCTGCGCGGCTGGTGCGTGTTGCAAGTTGTCCATGCAACCCATAGACAGGTAAATCAAGTTTTCTTTCCCTGCAGGAACATTTTGCGTAAGGCAAAAGTTATCCATGCATATTCAACATCATTAGAAAGTCACGACAAAGTAGCTGAATGCAGCAGCAAGGCAAGACAGGGATGGCGGACGGCGGACAGGCGCCTCTCCGACGCCACGTCCCCTCCAGGGAAAGTAACACAAGCCCGTTTAAGGCGCTAAAATGGAGACCATAAATTATGTCATAGGTAGAGTCGTCTCTTAAATGCAGCTGCTGAAGGGAGTCGCCATCGGAGCTTTCTTTTAAATGCAGCTGTTGAAGGCCCTGATTGATTTCACTTCTTCAATGAAGCAGCCTTGATGGAGGTTTAATCGGATCTTATGGTTGGAAGTGGACGAACAGATTGTTGTATAAGTATAAGTATAAGATTACATACATATGTCTCTGGAGTGTCTCTGGAGTACTCAGTACTTCCATTGCGTAAATTCTGCAATTGCGCCTTGGCTGGTTCTGGTTCTTCTTCTGTCACGGACTCTGGATCCTCCTGCTGTTCCTGTTCTCCACACGCCGTCTCTCCTCGATATTTAAGTGTTCTGGCTGCTTTGGCTCTGTTCTAGTCTGATCTCCAAGGCCTCAAGGGCGCCTACATAAGGCTGCAGCGTCGTTGGAGCCCAGCAGGGATCTTGAGTGGACGAGTGATGCCATGTGGATACATGTAAGTTTGGGGCTGCTTATTGGCGGCCTCTTCTTCCGATTCTGATGACTTGCATTCGATTTCCTCTGGCTTCTCGGTGCATATGAGCATCTGGGAAATATCTGCAGTCTTGTAGAAGTTCTTCTTGTCCGTCGTCTTGTAGCTTTCCACGATTGAGGGCAGGTCGACGAGCTTCGTGTAGAGCATAGAGCCATCCAGCCAAACCTGACCCTGACGCAGGTCCTCCTTCAGTGCAATGCTCAATTTCTTGTGTACATTTCCATCCCTGATGGCCTCGTGAATGGTCTCGGCACGATCCTGCAATGCATATAATTAACATAGTAAATCACCCATGAGGCAAGACGCAGAAGACCATATCGCTTACCTCGGGAACTCGCATTATGAATTGGCCCTCCGCCTCAAATTCGTCGCTTGTCGGCTCGCTTGTGTATTGTACATTGTTCATTGGCTCCATTTTTAATGATTCAATTTATGTTATGAATTCTTTTGCCAATGACGCAGTGTTGGAAAAAGCACACTTAAACAAGTCGCTAGAGAACCACTGGTTCTGAACCAGTCACACTCTGAAGAACCTCCATCTTATTCCGTGATGCACACATGGCTCACAGGAAATCAAAGGCCCAGAACGAAGAGGCGCAGATTCAGCCCAGGATTGTAGTGGCGAGGAGGCATTAGTATTACTGCGACCCATTCGTCAACGACCGTGAAACCATTGTCGGCGTCACTGGCGCCTTTTTCGTCGAAGTGGCCTTCTGTAAGCGCTATTCCTTGTTGTATCTGCTCATACAACTTAAAAGCTATAAATAAAGTAAACGTAATATCTATTCTTAAATGAATCCTGTTTAATTCGGGAATGTCTGTCCAAGAGGTAGAAGTAGTAGAAGATTGAACTCCTGCTTGTTGATGCGATCCAAAAATATAGACTATTCTAGGGATTATTTCATTCCTAGCGTTTCTTTGAACCAGTCCAATCCTTGGGCACCCAGCGCAGGCAGGTGGCATCAATGCACAGTTGAGGTTTGGCCTTGTCTTTCAAATAATTCTCAACGACATCGCCTTTGACGCAGACAATGTATCGGCTCTTATAGTACTTGATAAGTTTCAGATGAGTCAGCGTGGATACCACATCATCTGTGCTGATGGAAGTCTTCTCAGAGATTTCACTATTGGGAGAAAAAAGCAAATAGTTAGTAGCTGAATAGTCAGTGCTGTTTAGGCGTATACTTGATGGAAATGGTAATCTTGTCCTCCGCCACGTCGAGCTTCTGCTTGATGAGTACATCGAGTATGGCCCAGAAGGAACGATAAGAGAGAAGCCCCAGGTCCGAGAGCGGTTTCTCTGGCGTGCCGGTCTTCCCCTCACACTTTGACAACTCGTAGCTGAACTCGATGAGCAGTCGGCCATAGCCCATGCGCTGGTACGGAGGTAGAGTCAACACACAGGCCAAGTTGTTGTCTTCGCTCACCTTCTCCTTAGAGAAGTATCCCACCATATGGAAGCCGCGCGAGTCGAACACTGTCATTATGTAGAACAGGAAGGGATCTGTGTTGTGATACAGAGTCTTTTCGTCTAGGAACAGCTTGCTCAGGAGGCAGAGATTCTGCGCGTATGTCATGCTCCGACGTCCGTCAATCTCGAAGAACGATATTGTGTCCTTGCGGTAGATTTCCTCGCCAGGCGGATGGCGAAGATTGCATTTAATCAAATGGCGAGCCAGGCATGTGGCATTCATCACGTACTTTAGGCACCACTCGCACAAGTAGATGCACGGCTCGGCGCACATTACCTCAGGATATGGCGAAAAGTACCAGGGCTTCATGCGATGCTTTCCCAGCTCAATCCACTGCACATTCTTGATTTCATGTACAGGCTTCTTCTTCAGTTGGGATTGCTTGGAAGGGGCGTTTGGGAGATTCTTCCGCGATCCTGTAGAACGTTCCATTGCGTAGCGCTGTCGGTTGCGAGGAAACTGCACAGACGACAAGTCCAGATCCTTCTCGTCGAACCAGTCATCCAGACGCTTGTTAACTAAAAGGCAATCAATGTTAATCACTAAAGACGGACTTCCCAGCCTACTCACAATCCAAGAAGTGCACATAGTATAGACGCTTGTTCCCCACTTTTTTGGTGCTCAAAATTTCCGCCCTTTTCCACACATCTGGCTTTTCCATACGCACGGAAAGCGTGCAGCCTTCTACCAACTGCGTCTGAAGATCAATAAGAGAAAAGTAATTTGGAAAGTATCAAGAGACATCCCCATTTACCGCTGATTCACATACATACGAAGTAGGCTTTAAACTCATCTTGCTTTCATCAATTATTAACTTGCGCGGCCAAATCGGGATCAACGCTGACAACTGATTTTTTTGTTTGCCAACGCAGATCGGGGATGCCGTATGGGCGCAATCGACTGCCGTATATCGATATGAATCTGCCTCGCAAAAGCTTTATAAGAAGTTTTTGTACTTTGAGAAACAACGTTTATTAAATAATATATATTTCCTGACAGCACCTTTCATTAAATTTCTTCTTATTTGAAGTAAATTGCCTGCCGGAGTTTGTTCGATATATCGATATATGTACATCGATAAGAGGACAAGCGCTAAATAATTTAAATATTTCTACCATTCGCATTAATTTGACCATTAAAACCCTTAATTAACTTACATTCCTACTTTAACAGACCAATTTTTCTTTTAATTAAATTAAATCTCAATTTTTTTTTGGCGGCAATATTTCTGATATCTATCGATTATGTTGTGCGGTCACACTGAAAAGACGTGTGGCCGGCGTATTATATCTATATGTATGTGTATATATATGTGTGCAGTTCGGCGGAGCTAATTCGTGTGATTTTACACCCTTGTTTTTGTGTGTTTAAATAAATTAATAATCGTGGATCGTCAAGAATCGAGGTGAAATTTTGTAAATGTAATGTTTATTTTCTCAAAATGCTGGGTTGGACGGCACCTGCTGCATATTCCAACCTAAAACATGTCTATGTTTGTAGTTGAATTTTTGTTTTTTTTTTCTGTTTCTTTTTGTTTGTTTTAGATGGAATAGAATCTAAGTGCAACAACTTAATCGGTGTTTTTTTTTAATGTGGTGATCTTGTGCACATTTTGGGTCTTTTGTGTGTCAACTCGTAAAATCCAACGAAATTCTCAACACACGCTCACTCTTCCTCACCAGCCTTAATGTAAGTGTATTGGCGTGCACATTGGAAAGCTGCTGTGATATTTCATATTGGAAAACGTACCGAAAGACTCACAGCAAAAAGAAAAAACTTGTTAAATATTAAAAACTCCTATGCCTTAGACCCTTCTGAGCTTTTAGAGCCATTTTATATGCCGCCCGGAAAGGGTTCTCCTTTCCCCCTGCAGAGCCACACACACATGAACAAACAAATGGCAAAGTTAAATTTGAAAATAATAGAAATAGAAAAACTTTCTACAGTCACTCCTGGCAAACAGCAAAAGCAACAAAAACAAATAACCCTTACAATAACGCAACAAAAATGAAACTATTTCGAGTGAAATAAATCTGTTGGAATGTGCAAAACTCCTTCCAAGCGCATTGCGGCGGGCATTTTTATTTTTTGGAAGGGACTGTTCTGTGTATGGGAGAGCGAGTGAGATAGAGGGTGTGAGGGAATGAGGTCGATTGCAAGGTGTATCAATATAACGTGACGCATTTCCAGTTAGCAGAGTTTTAACATACATATTTGTTGTATAAATAGCGTGCAAGTTTTTTCTCTCCCATCCATGTGCGTTTGTGACAGTAATATGCACCTCGCTAGACGCGAGCACCTCACCTTGTATTAAATATACCGCCAATGCTTTGCGCTTTGCCACTTCTCCTTGGCTACCCTTTGCCACTGAATGAGAGAGAGTATTCGCTTCGATGGGTTGTGTGAGTGTGAGAGAGACACGGCGACTAGGGCAAAGTAGTTCGAAAACATACGAAGCGCGGGGGTGACGGCTGCAACTGGAAGTGCAATCATTTTTATTGCCAAATGTGTTTGTTGCTCAATTTAACTAAAAGTGCTGCCAACTCTCGCTGTCTCGTCCGCTTCGCCCTAGCATTCGCTTGCGTTCTCTAACGGCCCGTCCTGAACGGGGAATGCGAAGAGAGAGGGGGACAGAAGATACAGAAAGCGAACGAATGGTAAGAAGGCATAGAAAGGGAACGACGGTTAATGTGCGAATGTTGGCGAAAAAGTAAGGAGACGAAAGGAAAGGGAACGATTGCGATCGTTGATGAGCGGTGTTGTTGGTGGAAGCAAGGTATAAAGAAGGAAGTTCGAGAAGACGCATGCGAAGCGCATAATGATGACAGGCGCAGACGTACGCACACTAATGAACGTCCCAAAAGATGTACCCGCTGTTCAAAGTGCTGCTCTCATGTGCAGAAGAAGCCGGAATTCTGGCATTCATTGAGAATGGGTTTTTGATATTACAATGACTCGAAGCATTAGCTGCCAATGTGGAACTGTTTCATTTGATATAAAACATTTCCTCATTAGTTTATCGAACCTCTGTTGTCTCCGTTATCATTGATCGAAATAATATATAATTTACTCTCAGGAATACTCATATTGTTTCAAACATTCCTTTTCACAGCTTCACGTATCAAAATTGATCTAAGTAAATATGTTTTCATTGAAAGCTGTAGAGAAAGGGAACCAAATGAACTACGAATTGATGGTCTATATGGAAAAGGATATAGAGGTAAGCGGAATTCCTTTCAAAATAACCGTCTAACGTTCCATATTTTATGCACAACAGGAATGGGATAAGGGTATTGTTGCAGCCGTCAAAAGGGGCAATTTCTGGATGAAACTGTCCATTGAGCGCTATAATGTCGTAAAGACTTATTTTCATTCGAAGTTCGTGGACGTGCCCGGGTCTGGGTCTGTCTCTGTCTCTGCAGACAACTTGGATGAGTACGAGGACTTCAGCGACGAGTTGAAGCGCCTGTTCCTGCCGGACGGCGAACCAAAGCTAATGGAATATAAGATCCAATACGATATCATCAAGTCGCCGAAAAAGTGTCAGAACAAGGCGTCCAAGAAGCGTCGTTTCCGCAAGAAAACCAACAAAACAGTGATCGATGAGTTGTTGGAAATCAGAAATGCGCTCTGTTCCCCTCAGCTTGCTTTAGTTAGCAAGGAATTCAAGGTCTCCTATCCAACACAAGAGGAGGATCCACAGGAATTGGTACCAGAAGAAGTCATAAAGGAATCAATCTTTTTCTATGAAGCTCCTTTAAACAGATCCCGCAGGCGTATTTGGAAAGTGAAGTACTACTGAAGACAGTTCTGATATTCTGAAAAATTGTATCCGAATTCTGGCTGTGGGTTTTGTACTGGACTGCGCCCTGAATGCAAATAAAAATAGTGTACCTTCACCCCCTTCGGTTGGTCATTGAACTGATTGCCAAATCGTGACATAAATATCATGAAATTCATTTCTACAATATATATCCTGCATATCCCAACACTCATATGCATACATGTACGGATATTTATTGCAGGCATTGTTTGCCCACATTCGACTCTGTTGTCTATTTATTTGCCGCCTTCCGTTTTGTTATTGTGTTTATTCGAAACTCTCCTTCTCCTCCTCCTTTTTTCCTTTGCGAGTTTTTGTTTATGGATTTTTGTTGTTCTTTTCTGTTTTTAGTGATTTGAAATCGATGCATAAATAATGGTTTCTGCCAGCGGCTCTGGTTTCCCCTTATTTCAACATTCTCGTTGCGGCCTGTTTTACGCCGATGAAGAGCTAACCGCTAGCCGTACAGTGCGTTTCACAAGTATCTGGAGATGGGATTGGTTGAAAGCCAAGGAGAAGAATCTGGAGTCTCCAATGGAAAGGAATCCCCTATTGTGCGGGGCCTCCATCGACGGAAATCTTCCATTGTCTCTCCCTACAACTATGGAACGCACTGTAACGCTGACGGAACAAGCGGAAAATCAGTGAAATATGACAAACTTTTTCAATTGCACAATATAGGGGCATAAATTTTATACAATAAACAGGGCACAAAACAAACAGGCAACAGAAAACAAAAACAAAACACATTCGCGGAAAAGGGGAAGGAAAGGGGAAAAGCGAGAGGGAAAACTTTTGCAAATCAACAATCCGGCAAGAGGCGGCCGAAAGGAAGGGTGCGAAAGATCGTGAAAGTTTTTTAACGTCCAGAAGGAATCGTTTCCGACCCCATAAAGTATATATATTCTTGATCAGCATCAATAGCCGAGTCGATTGAGCCATGTCTGTCTGTCCGTCTGTCCGTCTGTCCGTCCGTCCGTCTGTCCGTCTGTCCGTCCCCTTCAGCGCCTAATGCTCAAAGACTATAAGAGCTAGAGTAACGATGTTTTGGATCCAGACTTCTGTGATATGTCACTGCTACAAAAATATTTCAAAACTTTGCCCCGCCCGTTTCCGCTCCCACAAAGGGCGAAAATCTGTGGCATCCACAATTTTAAAGATACGAGAAAACCAAAAACGCAGAATCGTAGAGAATGACGATATCTTTTAGACTACGGAATCTGAATTGGATCGTATTATTATTATAGCCAGCATCAAGAAAACAATTTCATTTTTTCTCGCCCTGTCTCTCTCTAACACACACGTAGCATAGGCGGCTTTGCTTAGAGTAAAACATTAGCGCCTAGATCTCAGAGACTATAAAAGCTAGAGCAACCAAATTTGGTTTCAAAATTTCGCCACACCCCCTTCCGCCCCCGCAAAGGATGCAAATCTGGGGATATTCACAAATCTCAAAGACTATTAAAGCTAGAGTATCCAAATTTAGTATCCGCACTCCTGTTAGATCTCACTATAAAACGTATATCTCAAAATTTCGCCAGCCACCACCTTCCGCCCCCACAAAGGACGAAAATCTGTTGCATCCACAATATTGCAGATTCGAGTAAACTAAAAACGCAGAATCATAGATAATGACCATGTCTATCAGATTGCTGAATCTGGATCAGATCAGATCATTTTTATAGCCAAAAGGAACAAATCAATTTGCATTGGCTACGCAGCGCCCGACGTCACGCTCAGACTGATTTTCTGTCTCTCTCGCACGCACTCTTTGTCGTGTCGTTTAATATTAGCGGCGCTGCCGGAGGAGAGCCATACTGACTTAGTATCGGGTATAACTGTAGAGTTGCGGTGTCCGCAGCAACTCACAACGTTCCCCCTCGTTTGGTGCTGCTTTCGTGACGTTTGCCAATTGCTAAATTCTCGATGCCAATGACAATCGCCAGGGAGGGGAGCGGGAAGGGGGGAGCCAACACAACAAGGTGATGGCACGCCCATTTAGCCAGATGCCCCCGGTTCAACGCCCCCTGGCAGAGAGATACTAGGGGGGCCGGAAGGGGGGCCAGGCATGGCATGGCATGGGCTTCCACGAGGACACACAACAACGTTTACGTGACTTGTTTCATAAACAAACAGAAGGCGGAGAAAATTGGCACAAAATTGCCAATCCTTTTCGTCGGCCTGGGTGTGTGTGTGTGTGTGTGTGTTGCGGCACAGGTGGCGCCTGCCACATGTCCTGCTCTGGCCTGACATTGAGCGGCGTGAAAGTTTCGTCCTCCATTGGCGCTTTTGCATACAACTTGGTAATTGTTTCCGCCAACAATTGCTGCAGCTGCTCGGCTCCGCCTTTTGGCCATTTTAATCATTCAAAATTCAAAAGTCACGGGCAGCTGCGGAATCTTAGCGCCGCATGAGGGATTGGAACGGATTGCCAGACAGATCAGGACATTCCGGGCAGATCGGAATATTCAGAGAGGGACGGGACGAGACGGGACAGGACAGGACAGGCCCGGACGCGTCCACGGCCATTGTCTTGCGAAAGTCAACCCTTTTGGCCCACATTGCTGTCAGCCCTCTCTAAATGAGACATGAAAAGGCATGAAACTTTTCTCATTATGCCACCCCCCCTTATGAGCTTCCCCAGTAATGCCAGGATCGATCATGCGACTAGAGGATACCCCAGGGACACCTCAGAGTGTGCCACAGAAGGCTGAAGGTCCCGCCTGTTACCAACCCGACACCCGACCACGGCATACCCTCTTAATCTGGCAAATACCGCGTATTAAAAAGTAAAATAATCAAGGCGAAAAAAGGAAAGTTGTCGCCACTTTGCCTTTGGGGTGTGGAGTGTGGGCTGTGGGAGGGGGATGCCTGCTGCGCGGCTGGTGCGTGTTGCAAGTTGTCCATGCAACCCATAGACAGGTAAATCAAGTTTTCTTTCCCTGCAGGAACATTTTGCGTAAGGCAAAAGTTATCCATGCATATTCAACATCATTAGAAAGTCACGACAAAGTAGCTGAATGCAGCAGCAAGGCAAGACAGGGATGGCGGACGGCGGACAGGCGCCTCTCCGACGCCACGTCCCCTCCAGGGAAAGTAACACAAGCCCGTTTAAGGCGCTAAAATGGAGACCATAAATTATGTCATAGGTAGAGTCGTCTCTTAAATGCAGCTGCTGAAGGGAGTCGCCATCGGAGCTTTCTTTTAAATGCAGCTGTTGAAGGCCCTGATTGATTTCACTTCTTCAATGAAGCAGCCTTGATGGAGGTTTAATCGGATCTTATGGTTGGAAGTGGACGAACAGATTGTTGTATAAGTATAAGTATAAGATTACATACATATGTCTCTGGAGTGTCTCTGGAGTACTCAGTACTTCCATTGCGTAAATTCTGCAATTGCGCCTTGGCTGGTTCTGGTTCTTCTTCTGTCACGGACTCTGGATCCTCCTGCTGTTCCTGTTCTCCACACGCCGTCTCTCCTCGATATTTAAGTGTTCTGGCTGCTTTGGCTCTGTTCTAGTCTGATCTCCAAGGCCTCAAGGGCGCCTACATAAGGCTGCAGCGTCGTTGGAGCCCAGCAGGGATCTTAAAGCGTTTCTTTTTGACCTTAACTGGCTGGGGCACGTCCTCTTCCTCCTCGGCTTCCTCGGCTTCCTCGGGTTCCTCCGGAACCGCAGGCAGTGTCGTCAGAGGCTTTTGTGGCAGCTGCGGCTCTGTTATGGTTTCATCCTGCTCCTGACGAGGCAGCTGCTCTTCTATGCTGCTCTCACGCCAAATGCTGTCGTAGCGCTGGCCACACGATATGTTCGGCGGAGAGTTCCAGGGCGAGTAGCACACCCCTGCTGATCAATAGAAAGCAAGATGGGAATCGGTTCAGATTGGATTGGACTTGAAACCTACAGTTTTTTAATTTCTCCGCAAATATGTGATCAGTGACGTCTGGCACAAACTCCGCCGCATAGGGATTGAGTGTGTGACGGCCTCCCGGGGCCCCAAGGGCTGTCCAGTTACGACTTCCGTCTGGACGCCCGCAATGAGGCAAGGGGCCACTGCCCCCGGGACCAGCATCGGCTGGCCCGATGGACTCATGGACTGCGGACCATAGGCGGTCCACTCCAGGCGAACGGACCTCGCCGACTGTCAAAGAGCGGCTTCCCCCGGAGACCTCGCCGCCTTCCTCACGCTTTACTTCCTTTATAGATTCGCTATCGTTATCACAGGACATCGTTCGGCAAACTATATTCACAAAAAAAATATTATTTTTTGACTCTACGATTTCCGACTCAGACTTAACTTTGAACTGAATGAAAGGTTTTGTTCGCCTTTCAATTGGAGCTTATTACCGTGGCCTACTTTACACTATGGAATATTTGATATATTGTACATATATTTCTCTCTTTCAAGTATCCTGAGTAGGCGGAGAAAAAGTATTCCAACTCGTCAAACAATCACAGTGGAGTACGCAGGCACCTGCCGATAGTGTCATCTCTAATTTAAGACATCTGCCGCTCTCTGAGAGAGCGCTTGTATTACTCTCTCAGCTGCGAACGGCAGAATTTGTCAATAAAGAGACGTGGAAATGAGAATAGCAAGCCTTTGAGAGCTGGAGAATCATATTATGTTTGCGGACATCGATGCTGTCGATTTTTTGATAGCAATATATCGATGAAACATCGATTGTCGCTTAAAATTAACCCATTAAGGGTGTGAAATGAATACAATACAAATTCAACAAGATTATTTTTCATATAAATAATCATCCTTTAGCTTAAGTAATCGCGATAGCACACTAAAATATTAAATTTATTAATTGTAAATTCCTTTTTTACACTAGGGCGATGCTTCTCCAGCTCTAATAGCAAGCCTTTTATCCTAAGCTTCCACAAATGTGTGTGGTCCCCGGCTTAGGGGGACCGTAGTGTCCGTAGTTAAACTTTAATCCAGGACGCCAGGTTTTATTATACTTGGCCTTTCATTCGTTATGATTAAAATAATTTAATTTAATTAAAATTGCGGCATAATATGCGGCACCGAATTACTTGGCGTCGATCGTTTAGGCTGCGCTCTCTGCTCTCTTTGTTCGACGGCCGCTGGTAGTCTCTCTCTCTTTCTGCTCTGTAAATTGCTCTGTTACTCGCTCTGTTACCTGCTCTGTTATCTCTACAGCCTCTGTTGCGCTCTGCGGCTTCCCACCGACACCCACATGGATTTCTTTGAATGGTAAAATTTTGTGTAAATACTAAACCAATTTCCAAAACTAATTACAGACCCCATTTTAAAATCTTTTAGAGGTTAATTTACTTTGCCCTTCTATAAGTTTTATTGGCTAGCCTGCTTGCATCATTAATCCAATTTCGTGTTCTATTTGAACAGACAAAAACACTAGAATTTCGTAAGCAAATAATCAGTTTATACTCCTGGTACTTGGGATCTGCCCTGCCTTCCAGTGGAATTTCCATACACCCACAGAATATTCACGGAATATTCATTTAATTTGATTTATAAATTGTTGGTTGAACTGTCACTTTTGCCCTGGTTCTGCAACGGGGGGCATGCCACAAATCAAATTTGACAAAAATTTTTAATTAAATACTACAACTTACAACAAAGTTTAATAAGCCGTATAAATAAATTAGAATACTACTCGTTCGTACATATTTATCCTGAAAATCCTCTCGCTTTTCGCTCTTCACTTCCGTGTGTGTGCGAGTGTGCGTGTGTGTGTGTGTGCGTTTTTGTGGGTGAAATTTAATTTTGTGAAAACCGCAAATTGGCAATATTTTCATTTCGGGGGCAAATACACAAGCCCCCCTAGACCCAGACTTCAGACCAAACTTGAGCTCATTATGGGGGCTACCCCTATGTAAAATATATGAATTTATTGTACCCTTTAGTGGCACAGCATGTCGTAGGGCATGATGGGCCCATGAACAGGATTGTAACAGCCAGAAGGAAGGGGTTTTTGATCGCTAGGAGCCTGTGTGGATCCTCAAAGGAGGTCCTCCTCCCACCCACCTGATTACCAAGTATCTCCGCGTTGCAACACTCCACCAAGTGGCATTGTCCCTTTGTTGAGTTCATTCCATATGTGTGCGGGCTAATTTGCACGTGCGAGTGTGTTAGCTGACTCTGCCACGCCCACGCCCCACATGGCACAGTGGCCCCACGCGACTTAGCCAGTCGTTAGCCATTTGCTTAATTTATGGCCAATGGATTGCTGCATTCGCGCATAGAATCGAGAACTAATAGCGGTTTTTACTGTTTTTAGTTAATTGCACAAATTACTTGCGCTAATTTATTGGCCAGCCAGTTACCCAGTCGGCCATCCAGTTAGCCAGCCCTTGAATTGCCATTTTGTGGCCAGCAGAATTCTGCTATAAAAATTCTCTGTGGCTTAGCTAGAGATCGGGGGATATTTTAATTGAAATTAGTAGTTATTATATAGGCACTTTGCTATGGGACAGTGTTAGGTACACAAAGGAGGAATATAAATTATAGAGAAAGTAGAAAGGTTCAAGGGCATCGAAACCGTTTTTCAGGAAACACTTAAAAAATACCTCTAAACTATCACATTAGATTCATTGCAAAGGGATGACCTACCTGTTTGAGGGTTGTTTGAATCGCAACACGGGACCAATCGTAAAAACAGGTTCATTGACAGTAAGAGGGAGGAGAGAGAATATAAATGAGCGAAGGATCGATTTGAGAGGATTTTACATGGTTGAGAAACAGGATTGAGATCGAAGTTAGTTCACATTATCGCCGATAGGTGGCGCCACCAAGTAGTAAGGATACGGGACAGACGTATATTTACTCTAAGTAGCATTAATTAATTTTGATGTCTTCCTATTATAATTTTATTCTTTGTGTGCTCCTATATATATCTCCATTAATTTGTGTTCTCTTACCATTCAACCCTCTATACGGACATCTAGATACCCAGGTTTCCAACCTATGTTTTCTATAGGATGTAAATTTCAGAAACTTCACACATTTGTTTTCCCAATTCAATGTTTATAAAATATCCTATAAGTATTTATTTAACTTGACCAGTTAATAACATAGCAGAAATTGGTTCCCAATTCAATGTTAATAAAATATCTTATAAGTATTTATTTAACATGATCACGTAATAACATAGCAATATGATGCACACTTACATTCAACATGTTGCCAAGCTGCACATGCTTAAGAAAATATTGCTGCAACATGTTGCGAATTTGGTAATTCAGTGTAAAAAGCGACCGTCCCTTATCCTTACTACTTGGTGGCGCCACCTATCGGCGATAATGTGAACTAACTTCGATCTTAATCCTGTTTCTCAACCATGTAAAATCCTCTCAAATCGATCCTTCGCTCATTTATATTCTCTCTCCTCCCTCTTACTGTCAATGAACCTGTTTTTACGATTGGTCCCGTGTTGCGATTCAAACAACCCTCAAACAGGTAGGTCATCCCTTTGCAATGAATCTAATGTGATAGTTTAGAGGTATTTTTTAAGTGTTTCCTGAAAAACGGTTTCGATGCCCTTGAACCTTTCTACTTTCTCTATAATTTATATTCCTCCTTTGTGTACCTAACACTGTCCCATAGCAAAGTGCCTATATAATAACTACTCACAGCTAACAGCTAGGACATAAACTAGTAATCTTTCAACAACGATGGATGACCTTGAAATCATTTTTATCGATTCCCAACCGGAATCAACCATAAATCTGGACTCTCAGCCGAGCTCCGTAGATCTGTCCTTGATTTTTGGGATTAAGACTCAAACCTATCTCGAGAGCAACTTGACCTGGTTAAGTGACATTAAATGGGATGATGACGACGATGACCCAAGGAATGCAACGTCTAATAATGATAATCCAGCATACATTTTCCCGGATGATGACAACATTTTCGATTTAGTAGATAATCAGGATGATGATAAAAGATCTCAACTCCAGGAACTACTTCGGGACGAAGATGATGATGACTTAATTGCTGCGGTAAAATTAGCTGAGGCGAAATTTTAATAATACGAATACATATTTATATAATAAGAATTTTTTATGTATTTTTCTAAAAATAATATATACATATGTACATACATATATAATAAATATAACACATTTAACCACTATTTTTTAAATGTTTTCTGTTTTACTTTTGATTGGTTGAATTTCACTTCCTCTTATTACAAGAGAATCATAGGATTCGTTTGAAACAGGTTTCTTCCACGTGAGGATTACACAAAAAGAATAAGTGGATTTCAGGTAGAATAGAGGTTGTAACCTTTCCCTCATATTATTAGATTGACCCAGTAGGAATCGTTTGAAACAGGTTTGTGAACAGGTACTGTTGTTTTGGATATAAAAGATTAAGAAGGTGTTTGGGAGGGGCCTAAAAAGATACCATTTAAAAAGGAAACCCTTAGTCCTGTTTCAATAGTGAAAGTGGTTAGTTCGATACAAAAAAAAAAAAAATAAATAAATAAAACTTAAAATGGCATCAAAAGTTCAGTGCAACATGTGTGATAAGTCCGTTGACTTTTCAGAGTTTCAATCTCATTATGAGAGATGCTCTGATTTGCGTAATAATGTAGTGTGTGACCTTTGCTCTAAGTCCATCGACTTAATAGAGTTTGATAGTCATTATGAAGCATGCTTGGGACCTAGGAATGCTTTTGAGATTCTTATGAGCAAAGGATCTAATTCAAGTGATCTTCAAGGTCCTTCAACGTCAGGAGCTTCAAAACGGCCTCGATTGGATACTCCGATGGACCTAAGGATTATTGACTGTTCAATTTGCGGTGAAAGTTACCCTTCGTCTAGGGAAAGACGCCATATGGATTTCTTTGAATGGTAAAATTTTGTGTAAATACTAAACCAATTTCCAAAACTAATTACAGACCCCATTTTAAAATCTTTTAGAGGTTAATTTACTTTGCCCTTCTATAAGCTTTATTGGCTAGCCTGCTTGCATCATTAATCCAATTTCGTGTTCTATTTGAACAGACAAAAACACTAGAATTTCGTAAGCAAATAATCAGTTTATACTCCTGGTACTTGGGATCTGCCCTGCCTTCCAGTGGAATTTCCATACACCCACAGAATATTCACGGAATATTCATTTAATTTGATTTATAAATTGTTGGTTGAACTGTCACTTTTGCCCTGGTTCTGCAACGGGGGGCATGCCACAAATCAAATTTGACAAAAATTTTTAATTAAATACTACAACTTA